TCGGATCAATAATGGCATAATAACGTGCAGTAGCATACCATGTGTATAAAATCTAAGTTCAGTTCTTGTATTTTACAGGCATCTAAGAATGATTATTCGGTGGACCACGGTTATCCAATATTGTTACAGTAAGGCACTTACCACAATAACATATGTTAACTGCTAAAAACCACGTGAATTTCATCTCAAAATGTTGAATTCAAAATTTCAAAAATTGTAGTAAGGTTTACGATAACAACACAATAAGATGCTATAACCGTGTTCTTTGACTTGAAAGAGATCATATGGAAAAAGGATACTACAACATCACATTTGACTAATGTCGAATATACTAGATATATATTACTACTAATCATGTATTATTTGTAGGGATTTTTTTTAAAGAAAAACTGAATTCGAACAAATTTAACCAAACTCTATCATCAATAACCCTTGCCATACTTTTAGCATACTTTCAGGATAAACACGTTACCCGCAAAATTACCGGCAATGTGAAAAACCTAGGAGGAACCCATCTTAGATTCTTATATCTATAATCGCATACGGATCTAAAATAAGATTAAAGGGGAACCCATCTCTTTCTTCCTCGTCGCACCCCCTCTCTTCCTCCTCTCCCTTCCCTCTTTCTATCAATAGTGATGCAGTGAGATAGGGGGACTTGATCAAGTCTTCCTCCTCTCCCTTCCCTCTATCAATAGTGATGCAGTGAGATAGGGGGACTTGATCAAGTCTCCCTAACCCCACGCTAGATCCATCCCATTCGATAATGAATTCATCTACAAAACACATGTAAACGTGAACCACATTACTCTGCAAAAGAACCTACGACGTCGATGACCCGCACCACGGTGAGCTTCCACACTGATATGTTCATGCCAAATACTCCCTTCGTATTTTAATGTATGACGCCGTTGACTTTTTAACCAATGTTTGACCATTCGTTTTATTTAAAATTTTCGTACAAATATAAAAGTATTTATATTATGCTTAAAGAACATTTAATGATGAATCGAGTCACAATAAAATAAATGATAATTGTATAATTTTTTTAAATAAGGTGAATGATCAAATGTTTGGATAAAAAGTCAACGGCTACGTATGAAATACTGTAGCAGCTGAGCTAGCTACCCACACAAACAGTAGCACTGCACGCTGGCGAGCCCCCTACCTAGCTCCCAGGGGGATCGTGGCGAAGACGATGCGTTCGCACATGCTTAGCTTTTAACGCGAGGATCCTTTTGCGGGGCGGGCACCTCCCATCTCCCCAGCTCGCATATATTGCACGCACCGCTGTCGAGGGGTGGGCCCCTGCCAAGGTCCATGTGTGCTCGGGTAAGCTGCATTGATTAATCATGCATGTACTCTCGCTAGCTACACACATGTCGATCGATCCGTCAGTTTACACATTGTGGCTGATCAGCGAGTGTGTGTGTGGCTGTGTGCTGCTGCTCGCTAGTCGCTTTACAGCAAACATGCTGGCAAGCTGCGCAGTGTATTATATGCCAGATGCATAATCATGCATGCATGCAGGAAGGGTTGATTAATTAACTAATTAATATCACTAGATTGGTATAAAGGGAACTGGCCAGTTGATTAAACCATAGTCGATCGGCGCATTCGTACTATCATGTGGACAAATCTATATATTCAAGCATGCTAGCGCAGTAGCGCGTGAGTGAAGATACATAATATACTCACTCACTCAGGGAGCTTCAGTTGTTTGATATACTCAGGGAGCACTAACCTTGAATGGTTAAAAATTGAACATCACATAAGCTAGCTTAGCGCAAGGCTAATAGTATAACTCGCTACTAGCTCCAATTCATTTATAGTCAATCTAATAGCCAATTCATATAATAATTGCTTACTATACTATTAATATATGGTCCCACATGTCATACACACATTACATATTGGAGTCCGCGCTGCAGCTGGCTACAGATCTGTAGCCCGCTGTTCTTCTCTCTCATAGCAAGTTTAATAGTATAGCCCACTACTAGCTTCAATTTATCTATACCCAATCTAATAGCCAATTCATACAATAGTTACTTACTATAGTATTAATATATGGTCCCACCTGTCATACACACATCTTGTATTGGAGTCCGCGCTGCAGCTAGCTACAGATATGTAGCCCGCTGCTCTTCTCTCTCATCCTTTATCTCATTAAAATATGTTTACAACTAGTTAATAGCTTGCTATTGTACTTGCTCTCATCTTTTATCTCATTAAAATATGTTTACAGCTAGTTAATAGTCTGCTATAGTACCTGCTCTTACTGGCACATCGGCCTTGGCCTTGAAATACGTGTCTTACGTACGTGTTCTTGCAGTATTGTCCTGCAATGCTTCTAGAATGGCTGCGCCAAATCTGGGTAACTACGCTAGATTGCTTAAGCTGATCATATGGATGATCTGTTGATCTCTTCGATCCGGCGGACGGCGGTATATGAGTGTATCTGTCATCAATAAACCGAGTTCCATTTTCATCGCATGCAATAATTTCCAACAAGGTAGCCAACGGTCAAGCGCATGCAGCTTCATTATGGCCTTGTTTGGATAACATATACAATCCGCCCCAGTGAATTTAGTTCAAAATCCCGGTCAATTTCATGGGCTCACGGCCTTCCAAACAAGGCCTCAAGGGCTTGGGCCGGAAGCGGCAAAGTTGTTGATGCCGAGGGGCATGGTTGGTGTGGTCGTCGGTGGCGCGGGCTCGCATGGGGCCAGCTCGAGGACGCCGGAGCTGGTGGCGATGAAGTCGAGGCTGCCGAAGGAGAACCTGGTCCCTGGAGCATAGCAACAGGCCATGACTGGCCCGGTGACCCCTGGGCTCACCTGACGGAGTTTGCCGGCGCTGTCGACGAGGAAGTCAAATGCGCCGAAGGAGATTTGGGTGGTGGCGGGGAAAGTGGTGGTGCTGGCGATCTCAAACCCAGTGGGTGCCATCTCCGCCTTGAAAACGATCAAGCGCCCCCTACCTGGCGCGCCAACTGTCGATTTCTATGATCGGCAATATATTTTATGGGGTGCGCTAGATCAAGGAGAGATGGTGACGCAGGTGTTTATCCTGGTTCAGGCCCTCGAGATGAGGTAATACCCTACGTCCAGTGTGCTTTTTCTCTGTATTCGTGGAAAGAAAATGAATCGAGAAGCCCAAAGGATTTCGGAAGGACGCCGGCCTCTTTATACAATCTCAGGCCGCCGGCGCCAATCAAGACCCCGTATCCTCACAATTTGGATACTTGCCTTCTATTACATGATTGGGGATCTGTTACTATAATCTCCCTGTCTTGCCCAACTATGTTAGACTTACTATATCGGTCATGGGCCCTTGGCCCACCCCCGAAGCCTAACTTGGGCCGCTACCGTGAGGTACCCGGGTGCCGTATCCCCCACAGCCGGTCCCACTAACTTCCATCTAAACTAGGGGTAAACGCCTCTTTCGGTTCAAAAAAGTGTGGGCAAAAAAACGAAAACCCTAAAAAGTAGGGGTGTAATCAATATTGGACATGAAAGTGAGAAAAAAACGAAATTGTCCAGTTATGGTTGAAAAAAAGAGCAAGGGCATTTGTCCATCCGTGTTAAATTATTTTTGTATCTACACGAAAACTAAATGTTACTCGTAGGCATTATTACTTGTATCGTGCATTGGATGGCTAGCTAGGAGTATGTCTTTTTTGGAAGTAATGTGGGAATTTCCGGTTAATGTGGAAATTTTTAACTATTTTACCTCTTTAGATTTATTCTTCATGCAGCAGAGCCCCAATTAGTACAAGTATAAATATTGTGAAAATTCTAAATAATATTCCTCTACAGTATCAAATTTAATGTATAAAAAGGACTGAAAATGTACCTTTATTCACAGTGGTCTTTTTAGATTTCTTTGTGTGTAAATAAAATTAAGGGATTTATTAAGTGTCACTCTAAAGTTAAATCCCGTATTTGTGGAATATTGCCTTGATTTTGTTCTAAGAGCGGGCGTTAATTTGTAGAAGAGAAGATTATGAAAACTTGATATGCTGGGTGATTTGATCAAATACAATTCCTTATTCAGTGCTTTCCCTAAAAAAAATATAATTCCTTATTTTAGATGAAAAATTAAGGAACCTCTTATGCCAATTACACGGAGGGGCCATCTAAGGTTAGAGATGATACGTAGGCCATGAGGGTAAAGCCTCAACCTTTCATCTAGAGGGAGGTTATAGGATAACATTTTTCTTTATGGGAGAAATGGAAGCGTTAAGGAACATCAGGAAATATGTGAAAGATGTTTCTTGATTTCAAAGTGATATCAGAAGAGAAACAACACAAAGGGACTATATACAACTTCTTTTAGATAATGAGAACTTTTATTGAAGTCGGTCAATTACATCAAAGTATACAATTATCATGAGAACACTGCGAGTCGGATATATATATATATATATAACTATATCCCATTAGAGAGCTCTCCAATCCAGCAAGGCGTATACACGAACGACCGATTAACGCCTTCGACGTGCCAATGGTCGAAAAAATTGGGGCGTAACCTACCTAAGTCTTGAGCCTTAGAGGTACCCAAGTGATAAGCCAATCCTCTGCTTGATCCTTCATCTAGAAAGATAACTTCTTTGTAAGGATGAAATCCAAGGATTAAAAAACCACCATGAGAAGACCTTTGAACCCTATCCTCCAAGTCGAGAACATCATCGCTGTCAGAGTCCCACTCGAACTTCCTTTCCGCTACTTCTGCATTGTAATTAGTGTCATCTCCATCATAAACATCACGGCGGCTGTAGTGTAAAGTCCATGGTCCGACACTTTCCTCATCGTAGTTCCAGCGCTGAAACGAGAGTTGAATTTCCTTGTCGTATTTCAGTTCCCACTTCATCTGCTCACATGATTCGTTGAGAATCCAAACCCGTAGATGGCACCGATCAAGTACTGCGAGGTACACGCCCTTCTCCGATCTTGCAAGAAAAGGATCCACATATCCATCTTGCGCTATAGGCAATTTAATTACTTGATACTTACTTTTCGACGGAGAAATTCTGCAAAATGGATCAAAGTAGTAAGCAAAAACAGCTGAGAACATATTACCCTAAATATAAATGATATTATTATATATAATAAACAAAAATGATTAAGGACTAGTTAGTTCTAGTACCTCATAACAAAATTAGCTTCCCTATGTACGTAGAGTGCACGTTTCCAATAGACCGCGTTGTACTGTTCCAATAGCGGTTGCGATCTCATATCCGCGATCGTCCCGGCGGCCTCACCTTCACGTACAAAGGATCTCTCTTCCCATTGCCCTGTGCTCGACGAGAACACACTCAAGAAGCAAGGAGAGGGTGGCCACTCTGATTCCTCAACCTTTGGCCTCAGTTTTTTGGACACAAATTCCTCGGGAGTAACACTCGGGATCAGGAACACCTCGTAGTGCGGAGATACGGTGGGATCGAACACGAGGTACTCGTCATGATAGAAGCTCCTCGTGATCCCGGGCCGAGGTGGCGGGGGTTCAGGGAAGGCCGCCCACCGCTGCGTGGCCGGGTTGACCACGTAGCGGCTGCGGAGCAGGAGCAGGCCGTTGCAGTGATCCACGACGGTGCTCCTGGCGGCGGAGGGGGTGAAGTCCTCGAACTTGCCGGAGATCGCCGCGGCAGGGGGCCGCGCGGACGGGCGGCGGAGGAAGAAGGACGTCAACACCTCGTGGAAGTTGATGAAGATGCCCCCCAGTGACAGCGGGAGGAGGTCCGCGCGCAGCAAGCGGTGGCCGTCGACGACGGCCCGCCAGGGCTTGCAGACGCAGCGGCACGCGGCTAGTGGGCGCGGCGCGAGGCGGCGGAGGATGTCGGCGAGCACGTCGTCGGGTAGTAGGTCTACCATGTTCAGTTTCGGATCCTCCGGCTGCTCCATCTCTCTCTGCTTTAATTTGCTGTTAACTCAATGCTCGGCCGTGTACTGCTCTTGGGTTGATTTATGGAGGATGGGTGGCATCCGATCCGATTCCGTCTTGGTTAACAACTCGAGTCCGAGTCCGAGTCGGAGTCGGAGTCGGAGTCGGAACGAGCACGCGCGGCGCGGCGGCAGGTTCAAGCTCCGATAGAGTAACGCATGCATCGAATTCTTTCGTCTGTAACACTAGAATTTTGTGTCCAAGTTCTGCACAAGTTTCAGTCATGCATTGGAATGGGAATCAATAATTTGATAGTAGGAGATGAGAGCAGCATAATTAGCTACCTACGGTGTGCAGCCATGGATCCTTTTGGGTGCAGGATTCTTCAACTGAGAACTACATCCAAGATGCAAAATTACTGTGTGTGATAGATATCGTTTTGAGCGGCATCTCCGCATCTGAACTCTGAAATTTAATTATTCAGTATGACTCAATTTTTTGTAGAGATATTCGTGAAAGCAAAAGAAGGCTTTCTTTACTGATTAGATTACTAGTGTTATGAATCCTCGATAATGTAGTAGAGATCACACATGAATCACTGCTTTCTTCAAATTGGTTCGCGTGGATCTGTACCGGTCTTAGAGGCTGTTTGGTTGGTTGCCACACTTTAGCCATGCCATAGTTTTTTAGCAATGTATTTGGTTCGCTGCCGCAATTGTGTTATGCCACACTTTCTTAACATTGGAACCCACATGTCATGCTCTCAAATTTAGAGCTAAATATGCCACACTTATGGCCAACTATTTCTAAACCACATTTGTGCCACCATGCCACAACTAACATAAACTTAGTTATGGCAAGGTTAGACATCAACCAAACATTCCCTTACTTCAGATGAAAAAAACCTCTATAGCCGACGAGAAAGGCACTAGAAGTAGCAGGCAAACAAGGAGGCGGCGGGTGGCAACCTGTAGCGCGAGGAGGCTTACCACACCGTCGCAGGCGCTCCCTAGGGCACTTGAGATAAAAGGGATTTTCCGCATTCGAATTTGCTAATCTGGCTCACGCAATTCACGCAGCTCCGGTACAGTGATTCAATGTTTCAGTGATTGATTTTTTCTGTTTAGTTCTCAAAATAAAAATTTTTACCCGGTCATATTGAATGTTTAAACACATACATGGAGTATTAAAAGTAGAAAAACAAACAAACATATTTCGCTAGGAAATTACGAGACGAATCTTTTAAACCTAATTACGCCATGATTTGACAATGTGGTGCTACAGTAAATATTTGCTAATGACGAATTAATTAGGCTTAATAATTTCGTCTCGCAGTTTCCTGGTAGAATCTGTAATTTATTTTGTTATTATACAAGATTTAATACTTTGAATGTGTGTCTGTATATCCTATGTGATACTTAAAAAAAAATTAGGAACTAAACCGGTCTTAATGTTTCACCCGACATTTGATCACTCGATTATTTTTAAGGAAATCGGACGTCTGATTTGGAGCTCTATCCTCTCTCGAGGAGGCTATGGGCTCCGCGCTGGTCACTAAGATCGTGGACCATTCCGAATAACCTCCACACCCGGTCGCGATTCTCAACGGTTTGTACCTGGACACTATCTATCTACATTTTATTTTGTAAATAAAACTCAGTAATTACTATTGATTCAATTTAAATGTTATTAATTATTATAAATAAAAAATGGGGCATTGAAGCATCTAGGCCCCCGGTGTTAATTTTGGTAATTAATGACAAGCACTAATTGTGGACTAACCGTTGTCTTTGAGCTATACATTTTAAGTTAGGTCCACGTCATATGTGCGCATGGATGATTATCGATGGATTAAAATTGACGGCGCAAAGCAAAGGGAAAGAAGACGGTAAAACTAACGCTTTAATTTAGAATTGATCGAGGTGTAGGGCGATCAAATTTGCTAGTTTAATTTTAGTTTCGCTGTACTATTAAGAGGGGTAATGACCTAGCAAAGAGATGATTTTAATTGCCACATTAGGTCATTGCATTTTCATTTGTGCTCTCTTTTTCGTTACACACACATTCACTAATTCACTGGGTTTGTCCTGACCAGGGGCGGTCACACCGGCCACATAGTGGCTGTCTGACCGGCGTGCCCTGGCCGGTCAGACCGGCTACATAGTGGCGGTCTGACCGGCACCACTTTCCCGGTCAGACCGGCCCCCTGGAGGCCGAGATGATGCTGCTCGGGATGGCCGATACAGAGCCGACGGAGCCGTAGTCGGTCAGACCGAGCCGATGGCGGTCTGACCGAGCCGAGGCCAGTCTGACCGAGCCGAGGCCGGTCTGAACGGCCGCCCCATGTCGGTCTGACCGGCCAGGCCGATGGGGCCCTCTGACAGGGCTACAACGGCTAGTTTTCTAGCCGTTGCAGAGTAGCACGGTCTGACCGGCCACATACCTCCGGTCAGACCGGCAGAGCACAAAGTTGGGGGATTTCACCCCCAACGGCTAGTTTTGGTGGGTGGGAGTATAAATACTCCCCCACCAGCAGCAAGGGGGCTCTCTTGGCACCCAATTCAATTGCATACACTCTTTGCACCTCTCTCACACTCACTTGAGCTTTGTGTTCATCCATCTAGTGTGTTAGAGGGTTGTTTAGCCAAGAGTCAAGTGTATTTGCTTCCATTGTAGAGCTAGTGTGGCACTTGATCATCTCCACACCGGGTCATTGCTTGTTACTCTTGGAGGTTGCCGCCTCCTAGACGGCTTGTGGACGAGTTGCCCGATGACCTCTCCGAGAAGATTGTGGAGGAGGCCCGGCACCGGTTTGTGAGTGGTTTGGAGTTCACCACCTTCGGAGTGAAGGAAGAACTACCCCGAGTGATCGAGGCTTGGGTAGTCCTCTCCGTGGGCCGGCTCCCGCCTTGCCCACCCCTTGACGAAGGGGGCGTGCGGTGGCTTCGTGGTTGAGCGGTGGAGTTGGGCTCGCCTCAACGGGGAGTAGGAAACCGGCGAGTTTCCGAACCTCGGTGAAAAATCTCTTGTCTCATTGTCTCATTTGATTGTCGCATTTACATTTGTGCAATTTACATTTCTAGAGACACACTTGAGATCATATCACCCTAGGATTGCAAAACATTGACATAGGAGCGTGATTTACTTTCCTAGAGATATAATTGAGCCACTATCACCCTAGGTTTGCAAAACATAACTTAGTTGCTTAGTTAGAGTTCACCCTCACCAAGCCTAGCAACTTAGGTTAGATTTAATTAGGTGTTATTTAGTTTTAAATCGCCTATTCAACCCCCCCTCTAGTCGACATCTCGATCCTACAAGTGGTATCAGAGCTTGGTCTCTCTTGATTGGGTTTCACCGCCTAGAGAGAAGATGTCGAACGAGGTGAACCATGTAGGGAAGGCTCCCATGTTTAATGGCACAAACTATTCCACTTGGAAAATTAAAATGTCTACTCACCTCAAAGCTATGAGCTTCCATATTTGGAGTATTGTGGATGTAGGCTTTGCCATCACCGGCACACCCTTGACGGAGATTGATCACCGCAACCTCCAACCAATGCCCAAGCCATGAATGCCTTGTTCAACTCTTTGAGCTAAGAGGAGTTCGATAGAGTGAGCAACCTTGAGACCGCATATGAGATTTGGAACAAGTTGGCGGAGATCCATGAGGGTCCAAGTGAGTACAAGGATGCCAAGCTTCATTTCCTCAAGATCCAATATAAGACATTCTCCATGTTGCCTCATGAGAGTGTGAATGACATGTATGGGAAGCTCAATGTCATTGTGAATGATCTCAAGGGGCTTGGGGCAAACTACACCGATCTTGAGGTTGCCCAAAAGATGCTTAGAGCCCTACCGGAGAAGTATGAGACCCTTGTCACCATGCTCATCAACTCCGACATGTCAAGAATGACACCCGCAAGCCTCTTGGGGAAGATCAACACCAATGACATGTACAAGCTGAAGAAGAAGGAGATGGAGGAAGCCTCACCCTCCAAGAAGTGCATTGCTCTCCAAGCCGAAGTTGAAGACAAGAGCAAGAGCAAGGTGAATGAAGTCAATGAGGACTTGGAGGAAGAGATGGTCCTTCTTGCTAGAAGGTTCAATGATCTCTTAGGAAGGAGAAAGGAGAGAGGAAGGGGCTCCAACTCCAATAGGAGAAGAAATAGAAGACCCAACAAGACTCTCTCCAACTTGAGGTGTTTTGAGTGTGGTGAGAAGGGACACTTTGCTTCCAAGTGCCCTTCCAAGGATGATGATGGAGACAAGTCATCCAAGAAGAAGAGTGGAGGCTACAAGCTCATGAAGAAGCTTAAGAAGGAAGGGAAGAAGATTGAGGCTTTCATCGGGGAATGGGACTCAAATGAGGAGAGCTCCGCCTCATCCGGGTCCGAGGAAGAAGGTGGTGATGATGCAAGCTCCAAGAAGAAGAAGATGGCCGTTGTTGCCATCAAGAAGGCTCCATCACTCTTCGCTCCACTTTGTCTCATGGCAAAGGGCTCCTCTAAGGTAACATCTCTTAGTGATAGTGAGAGTGATGATGATTGTGATGATGTTTCCTATGATGAGCTTGTGAGTATGTTTGAGGAGCTCCATGCTTATAGTGAGAAGGAGATTGTCAAGTTCAAGGCCCTAAAGAAGGATCATGCTTCTTTGAAGGTCTTGTATGAGGAGCTAAAGACCTCTCATGAGAGACTCACCATTTCTCATGAGAAGTTTAAGGAAGCTCATGACAACCTCCTTTCCACTACTCAACATGGAGCTCACATTAATGTTGGCATATCTTGTGATTTGCTTGATGATAGTGCTACTTGCCATATTGCTCATGTTGCATCATCTAGCATTTCTACCTCTTGTGATGATCTTATGGATATGCCTAGCCCTTGCTCTAGTTCTAGCTCTTGTGTTTCTATTTGTGATGCCTCACTTGCTGTTGAGAACAATGAGCTTAAGGAGCAAGTGGCTAAGCTCAACAAGAGTTTGGAGAG